AATTAATTGTTTAAATAAGTTCATGTAGAATAATGAAAATTGCTCTGCTCTTTACAGTAATAAAAAAGCACTTTTGCGTAATAAGTTAATTTCATAACTAAAAATTTCGCGATCTTAGCAGCTTTGATAATTTCATTAGCAGTAATTTATTAAGTTAAAAGTTTATATTATTTTTAATTCAACTTTAGTCTCGAGTTTAATTTACCCAGCTTGTCTTGAATGATAATTATTGCTAATACGATCAATAAAAATGCAATAGTTGTGACAACTATTACTAATATAAATAATATATTTTTCTTTGAATATTTATTTTCAAGGTTCCTTTCATTGCAAAATGAAATACGTCTTTGGGAGTATATAAAACAAAATATAATTGGTATAATAATTGTAATTTGATCTAATTGATTTAAATTAATCAATTAAACAGATCTTTATTTTGAGATCGAAATTATCAATTAAATTTTATTCAATTTTATCAAATAATAAATTAATTCTTGTATAGTTAAACTAAATAATTGATTGCTTAAATTAAATTTTAATTTTCATGTTATCGTTATATCACGCTTTCTTATTTAATTAGGAATGCTGAGCATATAAAGATTTCTTCAACCTTTTGAACTGAACAATTTACCATGCACAGTAATAATAAAAAAGGCGAAAATCGCACTTTATTAACTTCATTGGAAACAAATGGATTTAAGATTAAACCCTTAAATTCTACCCACGACTATTCTGTTATTGAAGTCTCTTTCGAAAATTTCTTCTATTATCTTTTAATTTGGAATAAAAAAATTTCGAATAATAATGAATATCGAGATCTATACAATATAACTTCCCAGTTCACAAGAGGCCAATTCATTATTGTTGGAAATTCGATGATAGATAAAGATGGCAATGATAAATTGGAATGGTGCATATCAAAAATATGCTTTATTTTAGTGGCGAATATGAAATTATTAATCATATAAAACAAGAGTATTTCAGTCATTATGCTGATAAGAAAAACATAAAAAAAGAATTGTTTATATATTATATGGCAGGTAAAACAATATATTTTTCACCTGAAGAAATTAAACGCAATCATAATGAATTTAAAAATCTCATTAAAAAATATCGGTGAATAAATTTTACTTAGCGGAAAATATTCTAAGAGGTCAAATGTAAATAAAAAATATTTTTATTAGTAAAAAAAATAATATATGAGTTTACCATTCTATGATTGCATATACTGAAAATGTTTGTAAAAGAAAGGTACATTTCAATTTTAAAATTATTAATTTATTATATCAAATATTAGCTTTTAACTTTATTTTAATATTTTTAAAGACAAAGTAAGACGCTTAATTTGTACAATTTATTGTTAGATCATATTAATTTATATTATTTAAAAATTTTTGATATGAATATACAGCATACATCAGTACGATTCTGATAGAGTGGATGGTGGTTAACTATAAGAGTTATTATTTGAAAAATTTTCTAAAAAAATTCAGATTTATGTTAATCAATATATTAACAAAGACAAGAAGGAATATCCCAGTCAGGCCTTGAAATGCAATGCACCATTAATTCCAATCATTATAATAAGAAAGCATATGAAGAATAATTTAATTAATTGCTTAATTTGAAAACTCAATCTAATTTCTATAACAATAATAATAAATCTATTTGAATAAGTGTGATTTTTTTTAATTAAACAGGTTCAGCTTTTTTTTTGCAAATATATTTGAACCATGGAATTTTTTTTCACGATCCGAATCTTTAATAATATTTGCCCGATTCGGTCCGTGTGGAACACTATTTACCAGAGTTACAAATTAAATTCTACCAATATTATGATTACCAGAGTTCAAATTAATTCTACATAAATTATGTTTACCAGAGATACGAATTAATTCTACTAACATTATGTTTACCAGAATTACATATTAATTCTACCAACCAGAGTTTAAATTAATTCTACCGAAATTATGTTTACCAGAGTTCAAATTAATTCTACCAAGATTATGTTTACCAGAGTTCGAATTAATTCTACCAAAATTATGATTACCAGAGTTTGAATAAGATATACATATTTATAATTTTGCATAAAAATATTATTTTATTATTTAAGTGATAGTAAAGAAGTCGATATTGATATTGAAATTGACGGTACTCGATTCGCAATTCTGTGTAAAGATTGGACTAGAGATATAGGTAGAATTAGAGAAATAAGATTAAAAGGCGTAGCTGATATTGAAATTTTTTGAAACTAATCACTTATAAATAAAAAATATGCAACTTAGATAATTAAAAATTGTACAATTACAAGAAATTTCAGTATATTAATAAATATAATTATTAGGGCCCAGCATCATTCAAACATTTGATGGGATTCTTACCTAGCTAAAAAGCAGAACCGTAGACGTTGTGGTGACTCCAGATGAGGGAAACTTTTCTTTTAACTGCATAAAAAGAGCTAAAAACTCAATACATCATATTATTCTTACAAAAAAAAGTTATATTTGTAGAGTCCTTAAAATTGTTAGTCAGAATATTTCTATTGTTTCTTGCATTAAATATTTTGCTATTTTTTTTTTCTGTACTAATATGGTTATTTTATTCATTTGTATACATTTAAAATATTTCAAAGATATTTATTACTTTTATTGAATTCCTAATTTTTATAGAAAAAAAAAACAGTTATAACATCAAGAGAATAGATCTTGAGATTCTGCAACCTTTTAATTTCATTTCCCACAATAATAAAAATAAAAATAATAAAAAAAATAAAAAAAAATATTAACAAAATGGTTTCGAAATTTTTGATGCCAAAATCTGGCAGCAATACTGATTTCGATTTACTAATTGCTATTTTTAATAGTTCTCGAAATCTATTTGAATCTAGGATTAGGATTCTGCAAGTACTGGCGTGGTGCCATTAAAGTTTTAATAGCACCATGCCCAGAACTTGCAGAACCCTATCTAGGATATCGACCAGTTAACACTGAAAAAAATTAATGAAATAGTAGAATTACCTCTTGATCAACTTATTACATAAAAACTTCGGTTTTTACAGTTTTTACAATAAAATAATTGGACCCATTGTATTCAGAGTTGGCATGGACTATTAATGGTCAAGCTTGACCAGACCAGTTAGTCAAAAGGTTTAGTATTGGTCAAATTGGTCAATATAGCATATATATATATTTATTTTTTTATATTTATTTAATAAACTACCAGTGATTTGACCAACCCTGATTGTATTGTATAAGAGAGAGTCACTTTAACGAATTTACTGTATTGTATTTTCAAATTTTATTTTTATATAAATAGTATTAATCAATTTTATGACAAATAAATTTATTTTAAAATATATACGATATGGACGTCAAAATTATTTTCTATCTTGTCTTTATACTTGCCTTTTCAATTTTTTCTCAAGTTGAATTGGTTTATTTTCTTCATGATCAGGGCGAGCAATCATTCAAATAACTTAAGAAATATGTTGAAACAATATGTTTGGTGAATAATGTATCTATTAGTTATTATTATAATTATGAACCACATTATCAAAATTGTTGGCATTCTGGAATTGGCTTAATGACCTGTGACAACTTGAGAAATAAATTTGAAGGATATTATGATGTTGATGCGTGCTATAACAATATAACTGATAGATGCCCACCAAATCTTTGGGACCCAAATAATTTGTGTAATAGCAGTTATTATTCTTGTGGATATAGAACAAGTATTATGAGTGCATTCTGTTCTTTGTATACATCTCAGGCTATAAAACAGTATTTGAATATTACATATACAATAACTAATGGACCAGTTGTGAATACGATTGCTGTTGCAGATTTTGGCATGGATATTAATAGAGAAAATTCTGATCGAACGAATATGATTTTTGAAAAAACAAATATTAAATGTTATTATAATGTTGAGACTGAAAAAAGTCCCATTTGTTTTTGGGGATATCCGGTAATAGATGTTCTTAAACTTGGTATGTGGTTTTATGCAAATATATTTTTATAGAATTTGGTTGTTTTTTCGTGATTTTATTTTTTTACAAAGAGAAAGCATGCATATATCCATTTTTTTATGTATTTGAGTGTTATATTTTTGGATAGATTGTAGTTGGAATTTCTTGGAGTTATACTGGATTATTTTTTGTAGGAATGATTATTTATATTTTATCAAGATTTTTGAATTTGATTATTCCTTTTTGCACGTATACTATTTATGCAGAAAATGATTTTGAAACTGAGAAAAGAAAAAAAATTCTATAATTATATTTTTTGAAGTTTTATTTTTATCCAGAATTTTATTAATTTTATTTTATTTTATTCCACATAACATATATGTAAGAATTATATTCACAGTTTCATTGGTGTGGGCTTTTTCTATAATTTATTTATGCTATATCAATCTTGGATATGCGTTGTTGAAAAAAAATTTTTACATTCTTGTATGGTTGTTTTGTATGGGTTTATCAAAGCTTTAGCAAATATTGTATTGATCTATACTTTATCGAAGATTTGAATGAACCACCACCATATGATAGCATATTTAAGGTTTAAATCAATTATTATTTTAAAAGTTGAATAGACTGGATGAAATTACTTTAACTTAATATTTTAACGAAATTATTAAAATTTTAAGCTAAGGGTGTGGCGACTTAGTGAAGTGGTGAAGTTGTCGCACCCCCAAGCGCTTAAGTACAAGTTTAATTTCCACTAGAGACGAAAATTGAATTTCAAAAAACGGATTCGGTAACTAACGGCGTGGCCAGGAAAACTCGAAACCCTGTAACTGTGGTCATACCAATTCGTCAGAACTGGAAGATTTTGGGCTTTTGTGTAATAGAGAGGTTACACGAATATGCACCAAATCGTAGAAAGCCACAGGGCCGATATGGCGGTGAGGCACTCGCTTGGCAAGTCCCGAGTAGAGAGGTAGCACAGATCTTCGATGGTACTACGTAAAGGATTAT